AGTCATTGATTATTTCAATGGCAGGTTTTTAAATTCTGATGAATGGAATATTGAAGGAAAATGGCAGCTCTTCTTTTACTTTCTGGCAATTTTTTTGAAGTAAAGTTTTGACTGTGTTTAATCAACTTTTGTTAAAATAACTGTTCCAATTTTAACTCTTCAGAAGCCAGTTGAAATATTGATCAGAAATTATGATCAAATTATGATCAAAGGCTCAGGACAAACTTGATAAGCTATAATACTGTACAATTTAGGCAATGTACAATTTTTAAAAATTGGAAACAAAGTTAATAGAGGTTTACACAATGACCATGCTAAAGTTAATCAAGAGCAATGTCATTAACGGTGGATGTGTATTTCTTCTTGAAATGTTACATTCCTTTGCTTTTTTTATTATTGGGAGACTTTGAAGAGTTAAAAAAATCTAAATGTGAAGTTTTGTAGCTTTGTTTGTATTTGACTTGTTTCTTGACAGTTTAGAATTTGTCTTTATTCCAATCATATTGTTTTTAAGTCTCTTCTGTGCAAGCTTTAAAGGATGCATTCTTGCCAACTCATGTACTGGAAGATCGCTTGTCAGATAAATACCACTTTGGACTTAAATGTCAATTATATAAACTGACAAACCTCAGCTAATCAGTATTATCCTTGTAGTTCACCATGTCTTTCACATATCAAACTTGGACCACCTCTGGGTGTCTAAAAGCATTCTTCGAGTTTGTTTGCATTTTCTTCCGCTTGCTGGTAATTGTGTTTTTAAATGCAGATGTGATGTAATCTTATTTTCTTTGGATCAAAGCTGGACTGAAAATTGTATTATGTAATTATTTTTGTGCTCTTAATGTTATTTGGTACCTAAGTTGTAAATAATGTCTACTGCTGTTTATTCCAGTTTCTACTACCTCAGGTATCCTATAGATTTTCTTCTACCAAAGTTCATTTTCACATTGAAATTATATTTGCTATGTGACTGATTCCTAAGAGTTCCAGGGCTTAAGGGCACCTTACTGTGCAAGTAAATTTTAAAGATCTCTGGGTTAAGAAAATTTGGCTTCATTATATTCTTTGTTATTTTAAATATATCAAGATATTTTAATTAAAAGTTTTTACCCCTTTGAACAATTTTATAGTATAATTTGTACCTATTTTGGTGGTTTTGTCTTTATAGTAAATAAAAGATTTTGGACAAAACTTGTCCTTTTTTGATGGCAATTACCTTGACTTTATTACTTCCTAGAATTACTGTATTATATGTATTTTGCTTTAAGCAAACAAGATCCTGTCACTTTTTCTGTGGTCTGAAAAGTGCCTGCAAGTAAGGATGTCATTGTTTGTTTCTTGGTCTTAGAAACACTTTGTATTTGGAATAATTGCTATAACAAAAATCTAAACTGCTTTATCTACATATTCCTGTAGGGTAAGGATTCTTAAAGTTTCAAACCCATCAATGAATGTGACGCCCCATGAATTAAAAACTACTGGTTTTGTTGGGGTTGCAGTGATAGAAGCTTGCAGCTTTATAAAATTGAATTTTTAATTGGAACTGGGAACTTGCTTTAGTTTTTCATAATTCTTGGAATTTGGATTTTATTTTTTAAGACTACCATGCTCATTCTTGTTTCATATTTATTTTGGATTGAAATTTGCTCTTTATAAAAGTAACTGCAGAAATTTCAGACTTTCCTGCTGGCTCATCCTGGCAGCGTGGAAGCAAATTCTAAGATCAATTCAGCTTTGAGTGTACATCTGATGGGCCTGTGAGATCTCACTTTATGGCTGTAGCTTCTGGACAAATTAGGTGCCCTATAAGATTATATTCAACCTTTCCTTGCCTCTTCTACCTATACGAGTTCTAACCAGAACAGGTCCTGTTTAGTGTTTTCAATTTCAGTCGTGTTAATATGGCCTTGAAGCCCAAAGCCCATACCTCCTATGTCTATAGCAGAATCTCTAAGCATTGAGGAGAGGGAAAATCATGAGGGCATCTCTTTCATAAAGAATGAAAAAGCTACTTTGCAGCATTTGCTGTTTCTCACATAGATGGCAGAAGATTGATTAAGAGGTCTTGGCAGCAACATTCTGTCAGAATGCACACAGTGCGAAGTAGCATTTTACACATTTCTGATCTTTGTTGTAGGGTCAACCTATGGAATAGCATCCTTCAGAGTCAGATAACACATAATCAGAGTTGGAAGGTACCTTATAGGTCATCTAGTCCAACCCCCCACCCAAGCGGGAGTCCTCTGTGGCTCCCATCCCAATGATATTCAGAAAGTCATTGGAAACCTGGCTATTATTCTCCAAGGGCTTGAAGTAGAGTGATTCTTGAGTCTTTATGCAAAATGTTCTTACATCTTCTGCATGTATGATTTGTATCTGTTTTTATAGTTTGGTGATCTGTAACTGTAAACTTACCAGAGTTGTTTAAGAGTTCTGTGGCCTTTAATTTGAAAGCAGGTAGCCCTTGACTTAAAACCACATTTTGGACTGAAATTTCAGTTGTAAGTCAAGTCAAATGTGACTGGACCTGATTTTACAGCCATTTTTATGGTACTTATAAAATGAATCACTGTGGTTGTTAAGCAAATCACATGGTCATTAAGCAAATCCAGTTTCCCAATAAAAAAATTGTTTTTGTCAAAAACCAGCTTTAAAAATGTTGCAAATTGTGGTCATGTGACTGTGTAATGCTGTCACTAGACAAAAAGATGAGCTTAGTGCCAAGTGCCCAAATTGTGATCACGTGACCATGAGGGTGATGTGAGTGAGTGTGAGTACAAGTAAAACACTTTTTCTGAGACTGCCATAGTAGCTATGAATCATCATTGAACAAACAGGTGTAAGTCAAGGACTACATGCATTTAAATAAAGCTCTCGAAGACAAATTGGAGGGCTGGGAAGGATGCTTACTCTGTTTGGCCACCTAGTGGGATGATAAGACTGCCAAGATTATCAGCTTCAGCTGAATGGAGGGTGACCAAGGGTCCAGGAGAGCACAGCAGTATTGAGGAATGTCTCCTTGGCTTCTTGAAGGAGTGTGCAAGAGGTGAAGCACTGCTGTTGTGATTCTTCAGCAAAAGAAGCCCCTTCGTAACCCTAACCTTTCTTTTAACTTTGCCCGAAGGCTGCTTGAATCCTACTGATGACAGGCAACCTCTTCCTGCACACATAGTACCTACCAAGTGAGACATTCTTTATATACAACACACAACACAGTCCAAAGGATCAGGTGAAGTCAACAAATGCAGAAGGCAGAATCTGCTATGCAGCAACCAACTAAGTGCTCTACTCAAAGGTCTGGGAAACCAAAAAGGGTATGTCTTATCACTTTTCAGAATTTCTCAACATGGTGTGACTTCTGGCTCCGAAGGCTTTTTTACATAGGAGGAAAGTAGAGAGTGCAGCTTGGCAGTACTCTGGTTTTTGTGAATATCTTGGATTTGTGACTCATACTATGTGACATAATTTGCCAAGCATTTTCTTTGTTTATTGAATTAATTTCCATAAAATATACCTGTGCCCACAATGATTGCCATGTAATTGTAACTGAAAAGCTGGAATGCAGCATTATATGAGATCAATTCAGTAGGCATTGACTGGTTATGTGCCTTCAAGTCAGTGTCAACTCTTAACAACTACATACATTTGTCTTCATCAATAGCTGCCTCTAACCTGGTCTCCCAATGCCTATACCCACTACCACTCTGCTGTTGATTCTCTTTCCTTCCACCTTTCCCTGTTTCTTTGCTTGCTTTTCTGCTAAAATATGGGGGGAACTATCCCTTTATTATTTATAACTAGTAAATAGTATTCATTCAATTTTCAGTTGACAGATGCAGAGGCTTACAATCTGAACAAAATATATATTTAAAAATACTGCAACAAAAAAATCAGAAAACGAACAAAACGAGAAAAGAATATCTCTGAAACACTTCGATTTTTTAAAAGTTTCATGAAGGTTCACATATATATTTTTAAATGAATAAATAAAATTGTTGATTAGCTGGTTGATTACATGATTACAGTAAAAAGCTGATCAAATTTCAAGGGGCAGGAAGTTTCATAGTATCTGCTCCACAACAAGAAGGAAAAAAAAAGTTCATGGGTCTTCATTCTCTTATTCAATTGAAAGGGGGGAACTACAGGTAATCCTTGACTTACAATCATAATGCAGCCAAAAATTTCTGTTAAGTGAAACATTTGTTAAGTGAGCTTCACCCCATTTTACGACTCAATGAATCACTGCACTTAATCAGTTAGTAACCTGGTTGCTAAGTGAATCTGGTTTCCCTATTAACTTTGCTTGTTGGAAGGTCGCAAAAGATGATCCACATGATTTTGGCACACAGCAATGGTCCTAAATATGAACCAGCTTCCAAGCATCCGTATTTTGATCCCATGATTATGGGGGTGCTGCAAAGGTTGTAACTGAAAAACAGTCACAGGGAGCAGCAGAGCTGGTTGTCACACAGAGCGGTTGTACACTTTGGTCCCTTTTTTCAGGGCCGTTGTTGTAAGTCGAGGACTACCTGTACTAAAAAGTTCTAATTAGTTCAACTAACTTTCGAAAAATCAGGATTTTAACTCATAAACTTTCGTGCCAGCCAGGGCTGGCTGTTGCTACAAGCACTCCTAATCGCTAGGACCTCTCGAAAACTCCACTGCTCACAGGAGGCCTGACCGCGCAAGCCTTTAACCCGAAACCCAAGTATTCCGCTCCTAAGTAAGCCTGCAAAGAATGCGCGACAATTGTTGCCCACCATTCGGATCTGCCCCAGACTGGCACAGAAAGCAGAGCGCAAACTGGCTACCGAGATGGCCAGCATCCCTCCCTCAAACGCGTCCCGGGAAACTCTGCCCGTGTCGAGTTTGGTTCCGGAGGATGCTTTCCCCGAATTGGGGAGGCCGACAACTGGGGGATTTGGGGGTTTTTTGGGGGGGGGGGGTACGAGAGGCGAGTTGGGATTAAGCGCTTTTATTTGGGGTTATGTCCCCCATCACGGCGAAGCATATGGGCGAAAGGCAGATTAGTCCCGTCCCCCACCGAGAAGTTAAGAGCCGCCTTCGAGATTGGCGGAAACACGTTCACACACACACTTTTATTCGCCCACTGCGGCGCGCCTTCTCCTGCTTTCGGGCGGCGGGGCGCTTTGCAGGCACGGCCCCGCCATGATAGGCAGGTTGCGGAGGAGCTGGGAGACCTACAAGTACCGCTTCGTGCCCTGGATCGCATTCAATCTCCGCCATAAGCGCAGGTGAGGGCGAGGGCCGCGTAAGGAAGGGCCTCGCGCGGGGGGGAGAACGATACAGAGAAACCGGGAACACCCTTTGCGGGATTCCTGCGAGCGCTGTTCGAAGGCTGCGGGATCTGGGCTGCGGAATTCCGAAGGATCGCATTACTGCCATCCCCTTCTCGCCAGTATTTTGCAACCGGATCGAAGCTTAATCTTTCTCTTTCTTCCTTATCCATATTACTAAACCTTTTCCTTCCTTCCTTCCTTCCTTCCTCTCTTTTCAGTACCAATATTCCCGCTTTCTGATATAAATCTTTGTTTTAACAATCTGCGCCCGTCTCTCCATATATGATGGTGTTTTTTTTTAAAGGCACACCTTCTCTTCATAAGTACGATTAAGTAACTCATTAACTTTGAAGAGTAATTAAAACTCAAAAGGGAGAATTTCTGGTATATGAGGACGATTCTATACTGACAGCAGTTCAAGTTTGGTTTAATTGGGTTTTTCTCTCCAACCTGTGTCTGATTTCTGAATTAACGGACAGGTGTCTGTAATAAGAGAAGTTTGAATTGGTTTTTGGTTTCCTTGAAAACTAATACATATAGCAAGATGAAAATGTTTGGTTTAATATACTGAGTAAAGTTGTAGGGAATTGCAGTCTTATATTTTCACACTCAAAGAATTTTTATTGTCTAATAGGATACTAATGCTTGCAACTGAGATTTATGAAACATGTTTATTTTATAAACATTTCTCTTCGACACTGATCACAAATTATCAGTTTTAAATTGGGGGGGGGCGGGAGGAATTTGCCCTACAATATCCTACTCTTAATCCAGTCATCAATAGTATAGTAGATTATAGTGAGTAATTAAGTCTCTTTGTTTGAAATATGTTTTCATTAGAAGTGATTCTTGTCCCTACTTTTCCTCACTCGGAGGCAAAGGTGATATCTATTAAATACAAATTAATCATAACTGCCAACTAAAGGAGTTGAAACAGGGAGAATGATGTGCATGTTTGTGTAGCTCACAAATTTAGAGTACCATATGGATTGTGGCCATTTTGATTTCATCAATACCTGGAGAGGACTAACAGAACTGCTGTTGCATCCCAAGGAGACCAGAGATTGTAATTCCACATCTGTGAACTCTAGTCACTATGGGGATATAGTAATTTGCAGATAAGAGGTAAGTTGTAACTGCTTTGCTGGCTACATTGACTAAGGCTATGATTCTCCCACAGTATCTGTCTGAATGGTTCACTCTGGTATTGAAATAGTGTCACCTATTGGAACCTTGGAATGTGCCTCCTCCATAGTAGGGCCTGCCCTCTGGAATGTGGTTCCCCTGAAATTCAAACTTCCCCACCTACTGGGATTTTGAAGGGCCTGGCTTTTTCTCTAACCCTTTGGACAGGATGATTGATGCAGTGGTGGGATTCAAATTTCTTTACTACCGGCTTGGTGGGCGTAGCAGGGGAAGAATAATGTAAAATCTCCAGTCAGAGGTGGTATTTGCCGGTTCTCCAAACTATTCAAAATTTCCGCTACCAATTCTCTGGTCAGAACCTGCTGAATACCATCTCTGGATTGATGTCTCTTCCTTCCTTTTTCTTCCCTCTGCCATTGTTCTGACCCAAACCTCATTCAAATCAAATAAACACAAAGTATATATAAAAGCAAACCTTTTTAATGCATCTCTGAATTCTGTTCATTCACAGCAAAGACTCATTAAAACTAAATAAGAGCAATCCCTTTCAAGGTTATGAAAGGCTGCCAAGAATACAAGATTAATTGCAGAGAAATATTCCAAACCAAAAGTCTCCAAACACGAACCAGAACAGACAGGACTTCCACAAGAACTTGAAGTTGAAAGAACTTCTTTGCTTCTTGCAAAGAACCCAACCCCTGAGGGCTGGATATTATCCCTTATGGGAAGGGCCATCACCTTGCAGCTTTACTCCCGAGTCGCCCTTGCTGCTGCAGCTGCTCTTTCCTTCGAGGAGCCCTGCGCGCACTGGGCACAGGCTCCTTGGGGTCCTCTGCATCACTGTTGCCAGACTTCACAAGCTCCGAAGGCAGCACCCCCCTCTCCGATAGTGCTGGCCCCATACCTGCATCACACGCAGGCCCCTCATGTGAGTCCACGTACTCAGAGATCACTGTCATACGCACCTGCTGCCGGCGAACCACAACAACCATCATTGTCCCTTTGACTTGTGCTGTTTTTATGTTTCGGTATTATTCTTCGGGTTTTAAAACATATTTTAACAATTGTAAGCTGCCCAGAATCACTGGGAATTGGATAGCATATACATTGAATACATCATCTTCATTATCAGCTAGTAACTTTGTTAACATCTGAAATTTAGAGAAACTGCTGTGGGCCATATATCACAATTTAGCTAATTAGAAATTGTACAACTACAAATACTATATCAATTTTATTCTAAAACAAGGGAGTCTCCTATCCTTGGTCTGCCAATTTGCCACTGTGTGCGGGCAAAATCATTCCCCCAGCATTGCGATCCCCACCACCTTCTGGAGCCGAAAAGGTTGGGAAATGCTGCACTGAAGCTTTTGTTTTGTTTTCGCCTCTGGTGGGAGAAACACAAGCCACTGAGACAGCAAATCAGTCATTTGCCTAGGAATCTCAACACAAGACAGATGAGATTACAAACTATTTTTCCAGACCAGCCATTCTAGGGCTTTTTTTTTTAAGGTAGGTTGGGGGAACACAGGACCTTTTCAGGCATTAACAGGTGCGCTGAGGAGAATCCAGTTAAGGTCCCTGGCCTAGATGATGTATAGGAGTGGACATCCTGTCTATCTGTCTATGTTTGATATCACACTAGCCATGTTTTGGAAATTATAATCATTAACAATTTAACAAAATTTTCTTATAAAAAAAATAAAAATATTTCTGTATGCTTCCTTCCCTACAAATTTATGGAATTTTAAACCGTGACAATTCTTTTACTTACCTTTTCCTCCTATCTTACTTCAGGACTTTGCGGTTTGTGCCAGAAGAATCTAAAGACAAAATTGCTTCTGATGAAAATGTTCTTCAAACATTACTGAAAACATTTAGATCTTTGTTTGTGAATGACTTGAACAGACAAATGTGCCTTTTGGACCTAATTCCAGAAATTAAATTGAAATATCCAGAAATACACTCAGTGCAATCCCAAACAATACCCAAAGCAATATCCAACGATCAAGAATGTCAAAGAGCCCTTAATCCAGAAGAAGTTCTGTTCAGTACACTAGGATTCAACATTATTCGACAACCCAGTTCACTGGAGTCAGCTGGAATAGGAGTTTTTGTAGCAAAAGGGTTTGTTCCAGAAGGAACAGTCGTATCAATGTATCCTGGTATGGAAATATTATTTTCATATAAATTCATATAGAAACCGCCTTACATTTCATTCATCAGGTAGTGCAGCAGATCATAGCTTTAGGTTTAATCCTTGATTTAATGTTTATATGTGGAGGACACTTTAGAAGGTTTGGGAAGGTGGATGGATGGATAGGTGGGTAGATGGATGGAAGGATGATTAATGGTTTCATGTCTTAATAAAGCAACCCAACTGTTTGCAAGCCACAAACTCAACACTTTCTGAATTGAGTCCTGGATTCCAGCTTCAAAATCTTGCCCACTGGGTTGTAGTTATTCTCCTTGATATGAATTAACGGTCCAATGCCTTTATTTAGTTTTCTGGGCATTACTAATTTGAAGTAAGTGAGGACTGTTACCTTTTGTAGCTGTCTGTTAACAGATGCCCTGCAAACTAATCAACATCCATTGCTTAAGTGTTTCCCAAGTGTTTTTCACTTGATTCTGTTTTTTAGGATTGCCAATACTATGTTGACAGGGCCAAATTTACTATGATATGTACTTTTCTAAAAAAAAAATAGCGCACTTTTGTCTTATTATGCAGCCATTACCACTTCAGTCACCCCTGAGAAAGTGGGGGAGATGGCATCAATGGCATCTTTCATATTGACATTACTATTATTCATTATAATACTAATCAGTATTATAAATTAGTAAAATAAGACCAGTGTGATATGGTAGATGTAGGCAGTCCTTGACTTATGGCCACAATTGAACCCAGATTTTTTGTTGTTAAATGAGACAGTTTTTAAGTGAGGGTTAGCCCATTTTATGATATTTTTGTCACCATTGTTAAGTGAATCACTGCAGCTGTTAAGTTAGTAACACAGTTGTTAAATGAATCTAGCTTCCCCACTGACTTTGCTTTCCAGAAGGTTGCAAAGGTTAACATGACACCCCCCCCCCAGAACACTGTAACCTTCATAAATATGAGCCAGCTGCCAAGCATTCAAATTTTCTTGATATGACCACATGGATGCTGCAATGGTCATAAGTGTGAAAAATAGTCATTTTTTTCAGGACCATTGTAACTTTGAACGGTCACTAAACGAACTGTTGTAAATTGAGGACAACCTGTACTCATATACTCAGATTTCAACTGCAGGAACCTGTGTTCAAATCCTTATTCAACTGTTCCTTCAACAGTTGTTACTCTTCAGCTTAGTGTGTCTCAGAAATCATGTACAAAACCCCTTGGAAATAGGTGTGATTCAGCAGTTGTAATAAAGTAAAATGGTATTTAATCCATGTCAAAATTCAAAGAATATTATGCTATTGAGACAAAAGTTAAGTTGTTGCTCCATTGAAGAATAGCTATGTTTAATTCATTACATATAAGATAAGAAATATATACATAAGGATCTAAAATAGCTGCTTTTTTAAAAAAAACAGGTACAGTCTATGAAAATCATGAACCCATCTTTTTTCAATCCATTGGCAATCCATTTATATTTAGGTGTATCGATGGTGTACTTATTGATGGAAATAATAGGGGAATCTCAAAGGCTATATACAGGTAAGGCATACTAGCATTGAGTAAATATTAATATAAATAAGGAGCAATTAATAATTATTCCTAATGTTTATACCATATAAAGTTCAGGTAGTATTCAATATGCTACTGAGGAAGAGCTGTGGATCTTCAGAATACAAAGTGTGTATGAAATAACTAAATTGAAGCCTTTGGGATATCTAGTTGCTGATTTTGCCTTGCAGAAAAAGAAAAATCCACAAATTAAAGTTGTAACAGGAAAGCTCAACACAGCTGAAAGTTGAATATATTACACATTGGCAGAGTAAGTAACTGTGAATTGAGATCGTCCCAAAAGTGCTTTTTCAAGAGGCAACTGGTCTTTCTGGTTTTTCTTTGAAGATGTTTCACTTCTTATCCAAGAAGCTTCTTCAGCTCTGCTGAAGAAAAACCAGAAAGTCTAGTTGCCTCTTGAAAAAGCACCTTTGGGACAACCATGACTTGGATGACTGGGAATCTCCATAGACGTTTATGAATTGAGATGGGAGTAAAATTGGAGACTTTCAATCAAGATCAAATTGTTTTCTTCTCAGACATGAAAAACAAGGAATGGTATTTAATTACATAGTTAAGACAACGTAATTAAAGACAATACCAGGTTATTATGCAATGAACAACTGATTAATACTAATTAGAGAATCTTGTGGTATGGCATTGTCTAAATTTATTTATATTGGCCACCCATCTTATCACATGGTAACTCTGGGCAGCTTATAATCATAAGTTTATGATTTATGCCTCAACCACTAATGCAGAAAAAGAGGTTGATGAATTTAATGATCAAATGTAAGATGAAAGTGACAGAATATGCAAGCAAAATATGCTGCTTGTAACTGAAAACTACAATGCCAATGTTAGAAATGTTCAAGGCATAAATGCCGAGACTCAAATTATCATACTTTGGACACATTATACAAAAACCTAGCTCTGTGGAAAAGACTAATGCCGGAAAAGGAAGGAAAGAATTAAAAGAAGAGGATGACCAGCAGCAAGGTGGATGGACACCGTTGTGGTGATAGGTGCATTTTTGTAAGGACTAGGTTGGGAACAGATCATCCTGGAGAAGAATTGATGGCACATAATCAAGCAATCAATAATCAGTAGGGTTTGTGTATTTGTGTTTTGTGTAAGTGATGTGTACCGTGTTTCTCCAACAATATGGCCTCACCCAATAAGAAGTCCCAGCATGTTTTATAGGCATAAAATGAAATTAAGCCCCTCCCCCCATTCTTTTAAAAACGATGCCCTACTACGACAAAGCCTCCCCTGCCTGACAGGGCAGCCCAACCCCACATGGAGAGGCGAATGTCCCGGGGCCTCAGCACAGGATCAGTCCAGCCCGGGAGAAGCACCCAGCCGCCATCCCTGCCTGGTGCCAGGCAGAGCGCGAAGAGCTTCGCCTGGGGCGCCCAGTGCAGCTGACAGGTGGCCCCTCCTGCCCAGCAGTGGAGCTCTTGCCAAGGCAGCGAGCGCCTTCCCGCTGGGCCCTCCGCTCATCCCGCCAGGGCCGCGCCGGAGCCAGGTGGGCTGGGCAGAGCTGGGAAAGTGAGCCGTGGGTGCACATCCGCCTGCCAAGTGAAAGAGCCGGGCCGACCCAAGCTTGGCTTCCCAAGTCCCTCCAGCCCGAACCTGAAGGGGCCACCAGGAGAGGCTGCCCGAGGCTGTAATAGCGCCCACCCATCTGCGGACAGGGAGGAAAGGCGATGGCAGCGCTGCTTCCCTGGCCGCCAGGTCCGGTGGAGAGATCCCGAAGCCGCCCGTCCTTTCCACCCCTCGCCCAGACCGTCCCCATCCCCACACATCTCCAAATGTGCCTGCAGCTCCAAACGCTGTAGCCGCACGGGCATCAGGCAAAGGCGCTCACCCGGTGGGGCTCAGCTCAGAGGGGGACGTGGCATGGGCCGTCGCCTTGCCTCCCTGTCCAGGGATGGGTGGGCACTATCACTGCCTCAGGCGGCCTCTCCCGGTGGCCCCTTCAGGGTCGGGCTGGAGGGACTTGGGAAGGAAGCCAAGCTCAGGTCGACCTGGCTCCTTTGCTTGGCAGGCGGGCGCGCACCCATGGCTCACTTTCCCAGCTCTGCCCAGCCCACCTGGCTCTGGCGCGGCCTTTGTGGGATGAGCGGAGAGCCCAGCGGGGAAGCACTCGCCTTGGCAGGAGCTCTGCCACCAGGAAGGAGGGCCCGTCTGTCAGCTCTGCTGGGCACCCTAGGCGAAGCTCTTCACGCTCTGCCCGGCACCAGGCAGGGATGGTGGCTTGGCGCTTCTCCTGGGGTGGGCCGATCCTGCGCTGCGGCCCCAGGAGATTCACCTCCCCACGTGAGGTTGGGCTGCTCTCTCAGGCAGGGGAGGCTTTGTCGTAGTAGGGCGTCGTTTTTAAAAGAGTGGGCTTTGCCTTCGAATGATGCCCGGGAAGGCTGCGAAGGAGCGCCTGAAGCTGAGTGTCTCCGCCGGGCTCCGGTTGCAGGGAAGAGCCCTGGCTGGCCCCACGTGGCTGCGCGAAATTCCGCGTGGCTGCGGCAAACGCCGCGGCATTGCTCTAAATGCAGCATGGGGAGAAGGGAAAGCAACAGTGGCGGAAGGTCTCCCGATACGAAGTGCCCCACCAACGCCGAGGTCAACATCCAAGCCGTCGCCGCCCGCCCGCCCGAGGATGCAAGGGTGGGTGGAAATTAAGTCACCCCCAAAAAGACAGCCTAGCCATTTTTTCGAGGGTCAAAAAAAAACAAGGCCCGGCCTTATTTTGTGAGAAACACGGTATTGCGTGTATGTCTCTTGTTAAATGTTTCAACATTTAAGCTAACAAATAAAGCACACTTATTTCCTGGTGCTGCAATTTCTGGCCAAGATAATTGCTAATAGGTAGTTGGTGGATAAAATGCTATTTGTATTGATTTCTACAGGATATAATAAAATAACAGAATGACAGGAGTGCATATACGTTATTTTCTTTCCTTTTTGTTGGAGAGGAATCATAGTGGCAGTTCAGAGTAGGGCACTAATTGAATGCAGTTTCTTGCACTCTTCATCTGAAGGACAGGATGATTGACACATGCTATGTTTTGACTGTACTCAGCATTTTGAGACCAGCAAAAAAGACAGTTATTCTAGTAGCTCAGCATGCAGATTTTCAGAATTAAAATTCTAATTCTTTTAATTTAAAAGAATCTAAAACAAGTCATTAGTATCACACCATCTCTGCTATAGTTTGCAGAAACAAATATTTAGCTCCACCATTGAAAGGATGTATATCTGTTGGGTACGGTAATTCAGCTCTAGCAAGTGAATCAGTGGTAGGATTCAAATATTTTTACTACCAGTTCTGTGGGCGTGGCTTGGTGGGCGTGGAAGGGGAAGGATACTGTAAAATCTCCAGGCAGAGGTGGTATTTGCCGATTCTTTGAACTACTCAAAATTTCCACTATCGGTTCTCCAGAACTGGTCAGAACCTGCTGAATACCATCTCTGAAGTGAATGTAATTTGTAACTGTCCAAGAAGCAATCAAAAAAGAATGTTATGGCTAATGTTATAATATCATTTAGGTCATGCAGCAAAAGAGATCAAATTGGTCCTTTAAAAATGTGCGATGTCTTTTGGCTTACAACTGCTATGCACAATCCATTGGCTGTGGGACAATATGTCAATAATTGTTCATCAGGTAAGGCCAATTTTTCTCCTTTGGTTAGATTTAAAAATTGAAATTGTTATGCATGTTGTTAGTCTGCCTAAATATTGTCAGTGGGTTTTCATTTATAGTTTCTGCAAATAGTGGAGGTTTATTCTACATCAGAGAAACGTCTATTCATCTCCTGAAGAATGGCTTAGATAGTAAAGGGATTGTTTACTTGAATAAATTCAGAAATATATTAATATTCCCTTCTTCGCTTAAGATATTTTTCTTTTTCCATCAGAAAAAGAAGCAAATGTTTGCTATCAAGAACTGAACATACCTAAATGTTTTCCAGTAGAATTTAAACAGTATCTTCCAAACATAAACTATAGCCATGAAATAGAAAGGTGAGAAATTTGTATTTTTGAATATTTCTGGAATAATTTAATAATTTAAATAGTTAAGCATTCTCAAATATTTGAAGTAGGATATGTCAAGATTGTAACAGGAAAATTTGCTTGTGTTGTTAAAAATATCAATGCACAATTGAGAGACCATCTTCTTTTTCTGCAATATTCAATCTGCAGGCCCTTGAGATGTGTGGTTTTGGTAGCTCTCCGAAATATTGGCCCAGGAGAAGAACTTTTTTCGAACTATTACACAGTTATTTCTTGATGGTCAACTACGGATTTTTACAGTGATTAAACCAAATGTGGTATCTTTTAACAAAGAATACAAAAATTTTATTGAGAGTTAGGTCATGGCTTCAACTATATATTTACTAAGTCAACTTTGTTGGGTTTTTTAAATAGCCTATCTGAAAGCTTTGGTTGAAATTTAAACTTTGTGGATTAATATGGGACATAACTTATTTGGGAAATGCTTGCTACACAAACACCAGTACAAGAGTTGAAATAAACAGCGTTCCCCAGTGTACCTGGCTCCAGCATAGAGACTTCATGTTGTTCATTGTCTCCCTCTGTTGTCTTTTAAATGTATTGGATTTAACACATTTCATATTTTGAGTTTTGAATGGCTTTATCATTTCTTTTACTATTGTTAAAAGAATTTTGTCCATTTAGTTAACTTAAAAAATATAAACCAAAAAATTGCTTATACTTTAGTTGTTATACATTTTATAGACTTGATATGTAATATATATGGTAACATACATGTCAGATTACTACCTTTTTATGAAAAAATATGTTCTGTCTGACACTCACAAACAGAAATAACAAATCCACGTGCAGGCTGCACTGCAATTCTTTGGAAAGAGGAACTCTCACCCATCCATTCTCTAGACTTATAGCTGCAGAAAGTCATTATAGTTGAATCCTTATTCTCATCAACAGTCCTTGGAATTCTGTACAGAAAAGATTTAGATGAGTAGATAAACATTTTGCTTTCAAATAAATGAGTTTTGAGATCGATTTTGATACATTAAATCCAATAAAATGACATAGAAACAAAACTGTTAAAAGTAGATATTGTGTCCATTTTAAACTATTTTTAAAGATATGGAATTTAGGTAGATTTCTGAAAACTTTTTTCCAGTGTGATTGCAACAAATACTACATTAATATCCCCCATGTAATGAATTAATATTGTTGAGGGCTGTTGATATATCTATATTTTCTGTAGAAAGTTTTTGATGAGTACTACCTATCGCACATTTACCAAATTACATTGCAAATGCATCATTATGTTGATTTTGAAATTTCATAGCTCAAAAATAAATTGCTTAATGCATATATTTTTGAAGTCCACTTCAATACTTTTAAACTGTAATCTTATTAAGTTTTTCTTGATGTTATTCCCATTAAAGTTAATGAAGCTTACCTCTGATACCTAAGAACACCCAATACATTTGTTCAACTTTTTTTTTTAGGTCATGTGTATAATAATATAAAGCAGGGGTTTATCATGTTTTGCGGGTTCAGGTATACAATTACATCCCATTTATTTAATAATATTCCTTCCATCACATTAGAAATCACAATTCAGAGAATTTTAGAGAATCTATAGAGACTATAGCTTGTCAAATAAACATATCCATGTCATGAAAAGAAAAGTGTAATATGTTTATGTGATTACTTTCCCGGACGCTTCCCAGATACTTCGCCAGATGTCAGCTCAGAAGAGGATGAACCAGTTCAAGGCACATCTGGAGGGGAATTGGTCAATGGCTCCAAGCAGTTGTCTGAAAGGGCTGAAGCACAGCTGCAGCAGGACATCCCTGAGGCTTTAGGTGGGGAAAACATGCAGCTGCAGCTGGTCAGTGATGAGGAACTGCCTTCTGCACTTGATCCAAGAACATTTAGGGCAGAAAAAAGGCAGGAGCAGAGATCAGCCTGATTACTCATGAGGAAGCAGCCTTACCCCTCTTGATAGGCTGCACCAGAAACTGGCTATTTAGCACAGCAGATAGATGGAAGCAATGTTAGGAATGTGTTTGTTTCCTTGCTGTGTGTTCTTGCCTTGAACTTTGGATCATCTCTCTTCAGCTGTTGCCCTTGCCTTTGCCTGTAGATTTGCCTTTGTCTTGGGACCTTGCTTTTGCCTAGGGACTTGGGACTTGCCTTGAGGACTGGTGTTGGCTTGATTTGGGTAGCCTGTGGAACTTATTGGGGTTGAGCTAGTGCCAGCACAGGGAATTGCTGAAATACAATTCAGTCTTGGAAGCCTTAATAAAGACTCCTTACACCTGTGGTGTGTCTGCATGCATGAGTAGGACAGCAGAGTTTACAGTGGATACTGCTCCAACTGTTCTGAAATTTCATTACAGCAAATTAAACTTTGGGCAGGTAGTGTTGCAACTCATTAGTAGTTATGAATGCTTTAATCTATTAGATGCTGCACTAATCAAAACACAAAAACCCCACTCCAAAAGCCAAAAAGTTATGACTGGTATCATTCTCAAGGACTATCATGTTTGTAACACTGTAAGTGATATAACATGGATCTTCATGCCTAACTGCCATGGTGCAGGAAGGTCCTCCGTAAAGTGTGAAAAAATAGGAACATAAGCAGCATAATAGTACCAGCTTGATCCTTTGTTCCTTTCTATATGGACATCTGTTGGAATACTGTTTTCAATTTCTTCTCGACAACAGGTCATATTGATCCTTTTTACAAGTGGCACATCCTTTTTCCCATAGTCTTTTCAATAGTATTAATATAGATTTTGTCATTCAGTTTCCATTTCTTGTCAGTTGCAAATGGAGTATTTGATAGCACATTTTAAAAATCTTTGTCCAAAGATTGTCTAAAAAGGGACAAATAACGTTGCAGGAGAACTTTCATAGGAGAAAAAAAGGTTTCCAGACATTTATTTCTGGAACTGTACACCAGATATTAAAATACAACAAATACAAAATAATGTTCAAAAAAAAGTGTTTATGTACAAATATTAAAACCAATGCGACAATAGCAACTTCTTTTTAAGCATCAGATATTAAAACTGGTTGCGATTGCCACTAATTTATGCACAGGGTGAAGCAATTTGAACCTAGCAATGGTGGACATGATTGACTGCAGTCCTCAACTGGCCTGAAGCAATAACTAGAATATGCCACTCCCATGGGAAATCATAATCATGATTATTTGCACATTCACTTTCCCATTTATAGATACTGTGCTTGTAACACTGGGCAGTCTTCTAGTGGCTAGGCTATCCACTAATTTACATTCAAAGAGTTTGTTTCAATTAAATAGTATCACTAATGCACTACTGGATGTGAAGTTAACATGGATCCAATTATTGGTTTTCAAAGAAAAACTGCACAAAATCTAACAGTACAGAGCTCAATACTTCGGAGAATATAATGCAGTCTGTAGGTAAGATTGGCCTGTCTACATAAAGAAGAAAAATGAATACTTAAAAAGCTATCAATGAGAGGATGAAATGGCTAACAAAAGTTGAAGTATTGCTCTATTGCAGCACCAGTTGCACATCCAAGTGAATCTGATGTTCTTTTGGAGTTCCTGTAAGCGATACTTCTACAAACTGCAAATGCCCACCATGAATTTTTGGTTTATACGAATGGATTGAGAACAAGGGAGAACAGAGAATATACTCCGCAATGAACAAAGAAGTCATCACAGTTTGTTAGAAGAATTGTGCTTTACCTATAATGAATCAATGCAATGTAGTTTTCACATGGCTGCAATTTAGCCAGCTTCATTTGGATTCAAACGCAATTCTTTTAATAAACAGTAACAATTTCTCCAGTAAAATGTTTAAAATAGAGAGAAACAGTTTTAAGTCCAGCTTTTAAAAAGAAAAATTCAATAAATAGCTATTTTACATGAATAAAGTCATAGTGGTACAAATTTATGAATGTCACATCAAGCATGCACAAAATGTTACTATACACAGAAGTAGTCAGAAAATATTGAAATAGATATCTAAAAAGATATGCAGAATGTACATATTTACATAATCTTGCAAATTATTGCCTCATTTTTAACAAGGAATTAAAAGTAAACATTATCAGCTAGCTAGCCAATAGGCTAAATTAGATCAGCAATTAAAAATCTATTAAAACTAGCCAGAATTCATTGTTCTCTCATACCATTTTTAGAATTTTGGTCAAAAGTCTTTATTAAATAACTAAAGTGTCCATTTAACTTGCTGACAATCAAAACTTTAGACGAGAAACTAGACTGTCTCGGTCTTCATTAAGACCCCAGCAATGCATAGATAAACTGAACATATAGTACTGCATCAGTTGATGAGAATGGGTGTGTTCATTTAAGTGCAACTGGTATAAGCATTCATACATTTTGTGTGATGATTTTTATACAAACCAGCCACTGGAAAAACCCATACAATGAATGTATAACAAAAGGAAAAAATACGGCCAGTATTTTACAAAATTAAATAAGATGTGTTGAGTAAGAGAAAACCCCCACAAGATACAGCATTCAGCACAAATTACAGCAACAGGAAGCTGACAATTTGACTGAAAGTATCAGAATATGACCCAGGGCCAAGGCTACCATTATTGTGTACTGTATTAGACTGACAAGTTTCAGATGTATATTTTACAACATATCACCATTAACATATATATGTGGTAATTTAATTCTTAGAATGGTTAAAATGTGCTATTTGAGAAACTCAAAACTTTTGATAGTGATTCCCAGCACTCTGCTGTTGCTCAAGATGCTGATACAGTCTGTAGAAATATAAAGTACACTCCTTTTGAATTATTAACCAAGGTGTCCTTTTTTGATATACAACTATGAAGCAATTTACTATCAGTACTGAAAAAAAACCTTAAAATCAGTTGTAACAAAATTAAATATAACATTGGCAAGTTTTATAATTGATTATCAGTTTTAGTGAACTTTCACAAATCCTTCAACACAGAACAATCTTGTCAAAGATTTCTCTCTGGAATATTAATATACTTAAGTCTGAATAAATTCAGGAAGAAAACTACACTAATGGCTGAAAATGATTCAAAGACCCATTGCATCATCACCATCTATTAATCTATAATTTTTCATGCTATTTTGAACTGCCATGTTCTGAAGTAAAGACAAACCCCAAGATGTAATTCATTAGAGGAATGAGGAAATTGTATCATTCTTAGTGGCTTTAAGCAGTGTTAGATAATACTTGATGTTTTCAGATTCTATTCCTCAGAAATATAGATATCCTCCACCCCAGCTCGAACAATACACATTTTTTCAGCCAATATGTTAAAAGTACACAAAACCTTTGGACAGTATAACTATTTTTGTATAAGGTAGCCGTGGCCTGTAAGAGCATCTAAGCTTCTCCTCAGACTTTGCTCTTACTGTCTTTTGTGCTAGTATCCACCAAGATGAATCTGTTGTTTTGTAAACTGAAGTGCTCTGGTTTAATATCAGATGACAGAAGCTTCCATTTTAAAATATCCTTGTGTAGTTGTGCAGTTTAAATTAAAGAAATGTTTCCCTGCTTTTGATTTATTTTAAAATGCTACATTAAGCAAGGATCAGAACTTGTACCTGTAAACAAATGTTATTCCACTGCATCCATTAGGGCAGAAGCAACCTAGAACAAAAACCCATTCTATTAAGTTCAGAACTTCTGTGCTGGTTTTGAGACAGCAGTCTCTCTACGGTTTTAAAAAGAAAGGAAGCAGAGTTTAAAGCTGCATCACATAGTTCTCTTAGTCCCGAACTCTGCTAGATATTATATGAAGTTTCCACATTTATGGATTGGAAAAAAAAGTGAAATTATTCTTGATAAATCAAGATATAGTTCTGTACATAAAGACATCACTGATGTCATATAGTTCAAACTTCCAGTGAAAGACTAAGCAAACCTGATCAACTCATCAAGTTTACCACAAACTGCCAACAGTGTTCAGTCTTTAATTTGCTGCTTGAATTCATTCTGAATGGAGGGCAGTGTGCTGATGTAACGCATGGGCACTGATAAAACCATTTGTCTCATTTGCCGATAGACTGCTGAAGTCAGCTACCGAGACCGCCATTTTGGCACTGGTAATATGATGTGTATGATTCTCAAAATCAACAGCCAAGTTGTTCACTGAAACTTCATTCATGAAGGACTCCGGGACTGCAATTCCCATTTTCAATCTCTTGGCAGGCCTTTCAGATTCTTCACTGCACATGTTCATGGTGTTTAATTCAGAATGATAAAATCCAGTTTCAAATAAATTAAAACAATCACTTTCACCATTACTAGGTAAGTTAAGCAAATCTTCTGTTACGACAGGCACATGATTAACTGCTGTTCGGGGCAAACTGTCCAGAGAAGGGAAGGCGTCTTCTGAGTTCACATCTGTAGAATGGCAGACTGTAGCTACGCTGTTGGTCAGTGCTAGAAGACAGAAAAAAAGATGTTGTACAAGATGTAACCATTTCCCCGACCTATAGTCATACTAAGCTCTTCTAATTTACCTTTTAATTTACCTGTCAAATCATTGGCAGTGATCGAATTCAGGAGGCTTAGTTGTTGATCAGGAATGGGCTCTAGTCTATTATTTGACATTATGGCTGAAGAAACGGCACCACCTAAAGCTTCTGCTTCATCTACCAACCGATCCATATAGTCCCTTCAAGAAAGTGATGATAGAGAGGTTATTTAACAAAATCCATTTGGAAAGTATAATGATGTACTACTATTGTGAGAAATTCTAAAAGGTCTTAAGCACAAATCTTCTTCCAAAGTCTTTCAACTTACGTGACTCCAGGATGGTGGTTGTACCTCTTTTTTCCAAATCTTGTTTGTTGAGCAAAGTAATCATATCGTTCAGATTTCTTCCACATGTAATAAAATGCTACACATTCAGCAACTGTCCTGGTCCTCACCTAAAGACAGAAAAAAATAGGCTTAATGCTTGTGGTAAATTCTTATGGGGAAAGAGTACAAATGATCAAACACTTGGCAAATTGTTAATACTTGGAAAACTATGAATTACTGGTTTGATTCCAGTATGATACCCCTGCAAATATATCAACTGTTAGCACTGAAGCAAGGAATGAATTTACTACAGATAGTCTTCAATCTATGACCATTTGTTCAGCAGCTGTTCAAAATTCAACAACAGTGTTGGAACAAAAGGACATAAAGCAGTGCAGCACACTCTTGATTTCATGTGTGCTATGCATGGGCCTTCCCCAAATGCCCCCATACTCTTTATCTTAGACTCTACCAACTTAAGACCCACAAAGTCACTTAATAACTGCAATTGGGAAAGCTGAGAGAGCAGTCATGATGTGTCACTTAATGACTGCTTGCTCAAGAACTGAGATTCTGCTCACAATTGTGATCATAAATTGAGAACTATCTGTAACGTAAAATGGTGGTTTTCTGTCCAAGTATTTTAAGTTTGTTATAGCATGTTCCAATACAGTTTTTATCTTCTTCCTTAACCGGATGGCTAACAGAAAGCACTCTCCTCTAAATATGGGTTAAATCTTACTCAGGTATTCATAAATTTAATCTACTACACATCTATACTACACATTAAGTGGCAAAATCAGAACTATAATCTTATTTAATCGACGAAAGCTATAATTGTCCCAGACTGTAGGATTCAAGAACTTCCTACAGAGTGGTTTGGTGGTATGCACATACAATACAGTTTTACAGTGCACAAATTACAAAGAAAATCTATGTTTAATTTTTTTTGCCCAAAGCACTTAATTCTTATAAGAGTAATGCTAAGTGAGGGGGTGAGAGGGAATCTAAAACAATTTTTTTATCTCTTAAAATACTTTTTTTAATAAAATGTCATAGTTTTAAATATATTTTTATAGATTTGGTTAAGCCTCAGAGTTCCAGAATTTGGATGATTCACAATTTAGAGAGAGAGGGAGAGAGAGGGGGGAGGGGTTAGGGTTGGTAAAGTTTAGGTTGGTAAAGGACCCAGATTGTTGGGGGCAATATGCTGACTTCGTAAACCGCTTAGAGAGGGCTGTAAAGCACTGTAAAGTGCTATCTTCAGATTTAGTTGCTCATGTCTTGCGTAACTAGCCAAAGAAACCAGAATTTATACTGTAGAGAACTCCATCCACTTTCCTAGGCTCAATTTCCAAGGAACCCCAGACTACAACAAAGGACATCACCTCACTTAACACAGTGGAGTCAGCCCATCTGATGACCTACCCAGAGTAGACATAAGTGATTATAGTCACAAACAAATAAAGAACTTTTCCAATATGCCTGAAGGCATTTGCCTATCTTTCCTCAAAGGGTTGCTGTTATTCACCAAACAGGAGTCTGTAGCTGTAAAAATCAAAGAAAAGAACTGACACTTCCTCACTACTATCACCATCTTGTGGGCTTCATGGTATTTTGTTTCTGGGTTTACACTATCGTTGCTCTAGAGACTTTTTCACTTGCTTATTTTCCCTTTTCTCAGAAAACCAGATCATTTCTTTGGTTTAGAATTTTTACAAGATTCTGGATGAGTATTCTCATCCAGCACTTTGGCTGCCTTTGTTATTCCAAGTTGACCAAGTGCAAGACTGAACTGTCACATTATCATGGAAATCCCCAAAGACCTCTGCAAACACTTTGGATCCATTAGGAGCTTACATAGAAAAAACTAATGGATTTGCTGCTCTTGCAAAGTCCATAAATTCATGATCCACAGTTGACAAGGAAGTGATAGCAAAGGACATCAATATAATGAATGTTTTTGGAGTTGGTTTATTTAAATCATTAATTTTCAAATTCCTTGAAATATTTGAAATTATACACTATTCATAATACACTTTCATTTTCTTAAGTAGTTCTGCATAATAAAATTATTTTCAAAAAGCCTCAAGTGATAATTTAATGTTTGTATGAAACAGCAAAACATGCTTGTGAGTATAGCAGCTAGTTAAAAATATAAAAAGAGGCACACTCATTTACTAGATGGATAATTCACATGCAAATGACCAATTAATTATATACTTGTAAATTATAATATCTATAAAATTGTAAATCCCTTGTTTACTCATTTGTATCCTACTCTTTTATCCCCTTTTGTCCTCTTTCCTTCCCTCTTTATATATTTCTCTGTTTAATACATTTTAATCAAAACTGGTTGACAAAAATATGCTGTTTATGTTATTTTACATATTTTGTCCAACTACTCAAATGTTAACAACTTTATCATTAATAAATTATTTCTATATCTGCTCACCTTATTTTTTTGTATAAGATGAAAATCTTTCCCATATATTAGAAGTGCATGTTCAAAGTTTCTACATTCTTCTTCTGTCCAAGCTGTCATATCTTAAGAGGGAGAGTAAGAGAGAAACTAATGAGCATTTGATATTTTGGCAAATCAGCAAGCATTTGGTCTCAACAGTTGAAAAATAAAGAAAACCTTTTCAACAAACTTGCCTGGTTTATACAGCAAAGTAAACCATAACATGTGGAATCAGCCCAACTGCTGACCTACCCAGAGTGGATGTAACATAGTTTATTTGATTACCTTGTGTTTGGAAGTTACTATGGTTTGTAAGCTGTAGTTTATATCTTAGGCTGAAGTGCGAACTTAGCCAATAATAGTAAGCCATAAGCAGAAATGGTATTCCATTATTGCAGCAGGAATTCAATAGGCAGGGAAGAACACTTACGGCTAATGATGAGGTCATGCATACGTAACTGTATATTACATACAATGTCATTGTTTCAAGCATTCTTTCTTGTTATCTGACTAACATTGTAACAATGATAAAGAATGATGAATGTTTGTCTGGTGAATGTTATGTGGAACACTCCAACTGTTACTCTTGCATCATTCTGATTACTTTGCTGCAGTTTGTTCAGGTATTACAAAAACACGAGGAACTGTATTGAATAACACAGTCATCATAATCCATGTCTGAACTTTATGATTTAACAGTATTAACGTATAAACCTCTTGATAAGAGTACTTACCCTGTGATGTCTTTCCATTTGAACAGTATTTCTCAACAGCTTCCTTTAGATTGTGGTCACACTTGAAGAGTTCATAGAGTGCCTAGTAGAGATTGCAATATTTCTTGTTTAACCAGTCAAAAGAAACATACACAATCCAGCAGCTGTAATCTCATTGTCAGTCAAATGTTTCTATTATAAGGTTATTTACCCACTTCAAATAAAACAGTGCAGAGTGTAAACAGGCTGGATCAAAACCTCTTCCAACCACTAAATGCTGCTGATCCAGCAGAAAGATCCTACTGGTAAACCATTATGGAAGAAGCTAAATGAACACTACTTTCTGCACTATTTTGGAAAGTCCTTCAATTCTCCAGAACAGACTGCCAGAGATCACTAAGAGAAGGTGAGGAGAAAGTTATCTTCCTCCTGCAATCCATGAGATGAACCTCCCATGTAAATGGAGTGACAGGGGGTGGGGGGGGGAAGCAAAGGACAAAATATTATTTAGAACACTGAGAGATGCCCCATAGGAAAAAGATAAATCAATGAACACAGCTTCCCCTTCATCCCTCCTCTGGCCAGAATCTCCTTGGATCTCCATTGTTTCAAAACAGCAGCAGCAATAGCAAAGCACTTAAGACTTATATACTACTTCATAGTGCTTTATAGCACTCTCTAAGCAGTTTACAAAGTCAGCATATTCTCCCAGCAATCTGGGTCTTCATCTGGGAAGCAAAAATGAACCAAACCCTTCTATAAACAAAGTAACTTTAACCCTTTATATAAAGACAAAGAATAAGATCTGATATAGATATGAAATATATTAGGGGGGGAAGCAAACATATTTGGTTTTGCATACCTAAGAATAAACAAAGAGTTAAGAGTGGCAAATTGTACAGAAATAAGATTAAAACATACTTGTTCATTGTCCCGGGTATGCACTCCATCAGGAATTCTGCCAATTATTTTTTCATTTCCAGTTCTTACAGAAGTTTCAAAAAGGTACTCTTTAACTTTATTTTCTGAAATAATATCAGGTTGCCAAAGTAGCTGGTCCTCATTTTCATATGCTATTAAGAAATATTGAAATATCGATGAGACCAACTGACTAGCAATTCAGCAATCCTCAGCAATTATTTGCATATATTACTGGAGAGTAAGATATGCAAAGAAATATACAATTTATAAGAATCTGCTTTAAAACTAACATTTTATGACTTACACTCTGGTATGATAAAAGTTTTAGTTGTGACTTTTCTCTGGGATATTTCTTGTCATATCTTTTCAATGTTCTTAGGATACACATACTCATTTTCACAATGTTTCTGAGGAGCTATATTATTATATAGGCAGTCCTTGACTTACGACCACAATTGAGCCTAAAATTTCTGCTGTTAAGTAAGACATTTGTTAAGTGAATTTTGCCCCAATTTATGACCTTTCTTGACACAGTTGTTAAGTGAATCCCTGCAGTTGATAAGTTAGTAACCTGGTTGTTAACTGAATCTAGCTTCCCCATTGACTTTGCTTGTCAGAAGTTTGCAGAAGGTGTTCACATGGGATGCTGCAATGGTCATAAATATGAACCTGAATTTTGATCACATGATCATGGCGGATGCTGCAAAGGTCATAACTCTGAAAAACAGTCATAACTCATATTTTTTCAGTGCTGTTGTAACTTTGAATGGTCACTAAACAAACTGTTGTAAGTTGAGGAGTACCTGTACTCCTGCTATTTAGTATATATGTTACCACAAATATTAAGATTTGCTTTTCAAAAATAATAACTGCAGCATTTTTAAAATTTAAAGTAAAATAAAATGTTTAATAACATTTTAAAAATAGCATTTTAAAAAAGAAACATATATACTTTTTCTATGAAAATGTTTCAGCACCTTATTTTTTTGTAATCTTCAGCTTTTCTTTAATCTTACAGACTTAATATTAGATTATTATAATGAATAATTACTAAATAAGTGGCCAGTAGAAAGTCTGCCACAGGATTATCTAAAATAAGAGAGCAATGCAAACATGATTATATAGGAAGAAAAGTTCTTTTCCTATTCTAAGAAACCTTGTTTGTACCTTCTGAAAATTCTAGCACGCATCAAACTGAATACTAGAATAATTGAAAATATTTTTCTATACCTTGACCAAGTATAAAATAAAACAAAGATATGTGAAAATAATCAATTCATGTTTGGAATTTTATTTATTTATTTAAACCATGTCTTTATTGTTTTTACAAATAACTCAATGAACTCAAAAGTGCTTTTTTCAAAAGGCAACTGGACTATTTTTCCTTGAGGAAGAAGAACAAGAAGTTGTGCTTCTCATCCAAGAAGCGTCATTGGTTCTGGGGGGATGGTGGGGGTGATGGTGAGAAGTCTCTTCTATCCCCCATCCAGTGCAGGGCCTCCTAGCACTGGTGCCCTGCCTCTCCAGACACTCACATACCCTGTTCCTTGCAGCAGCAACCCCAAGCCCCAACCCCACCTCACATCTCTCCACTCCACTGCATTCTCCCACCCAGCATCAGCTACCCTTAGAACCAATCACTTTCGTGCTGCAACTCCACCAGTCATACGCCTTTACACATCTGGCAATAGCCGCCCCCAAGTGCTGCTACGCTTGTGTGTCACTTCTCCGGTCACCCAATCACCCCTTTGTTCCCTCCCCCACCCTGTAGCAGCAACTTCCTGCTGGCTTCCCCACTGACTCTGGTTGTTGAAAGCCAGCAGGAAGTTGAGAGGAGATGTTCTACAACTTTCATTTAATGACAGCAATGGGGACTGCAGAAATTGTCATTGTTAAAGAGATGCAGCCATGTGACATCATGCTTTATGACTGCATCACTTAGCAACAGAAATTCCAGTCCCAAATGCCATTGTAACTTGAGGACGGCCTGTAGTCCAATGCACGTCAAAGTCAACTGTTAGGATGTAACTGAGATGCTAATATTTAATATATGAACGGTCCAGAAACCCTCGCATTTTAGTCACCTTCAAATACCACCTAGTTAACTAAATAAATGGAATTATAATTACTCCCTTTTTATTGATAAGAATGTTTGGTCTTATACTGTAAAGAAGAGTTTTATTCTTGATTATATCTGCATATTTATCTAATATTTTAAATTATGTACTCCCATATATTCCCATTCATCAGCTAGAGCAGCGGTCGCCAACCGGTGGGCTGCAGCCCACTGGTGGGCCGTGAGAAAATTTTGGTGGGCCACAGAGAAATCTCACCCCCAGAGCACCCCCCTAAAGCAATTAATCCAGGCTGCACAGAAACACAAGGCTGCGCAGCCCACATGGCCCACAGGAACTCTTCCCGCCCACTCACTCCTTACCCGGCAAACTTGCTTGCTAAATTGCTATTTTTCCTTTTTCCGACCGTCACCTGTTCTGCTGTGCGGGGAGATTTAGATTAGCTAGGAAGCAGGAAATGGTTAGATTTCTTGCTTTCTAGCTAATCTTTAGATCTTTGGCTCTGCTTTTAAGCACAGCCGAACCTCCCTTAGGGCGGAAGGTTCTAGTATTCAGTGCAGACTCACGGCAAACAAATTGAGAGACTGAACTAGCTGATGGCAGATAGATAGATCACTGAATGATTCTGTGAGTAACTCAATCTGCCTGCCTGCTTTGCCTGATTTTGAGTAAAAGTTGCTCTTTTTTTATAAAAAGTTCAATATTTACATACATGGTGTGTTGTGAGTTAATTTTGTGAGTCTGCTTGCTAGCAAATTTTATGAGTTTGCTTGCAAACAAATTTTATGTGACAGACTGAGCTAGCTAATGGCAGATAGATAGATCTCTGAACTCAATCTGCCTGCTTGCTTTGCCTGATTTTGGGTAAAAGTTGTTTTTTAATAAAAAATTCAAAATTTATATAAATATTTATAATATTTACATATAAGCCATGCCCAGCCCAGCCAGTAACATGACCACCAAGCCACACCCACAAATTAGGCCACGCCCACAGAACCAGTTAGTGGTGCCTGGGATTATGAGTTTGGTGGTCCCTGAGGTCCAAAAGGTTGGCGACCCCGAGCTAGAGGTCAAGGAGAGCATGAAATGGGATTGGTGACTGGCTAAAGATGTTAAAGTAATAATCATGTCTGAATAAATGAAAATTTCAATTAGCAGACCTCAGTTGTAAAAAACTGCATTTCTACCCAGATAAACCCTGAAAGGATATACAAGCCTGTTGCATCTGTAGTAATCCGGTCACAGTAGTTAAATTTATCTTAATTTACCACATTCATGGTGATTTATAACTTTTATGTAATGAGATTACACATGATATAAACTAATAGGTCATTTGCAACGTCTGTGTAATCACATCATTATATAGATGACAAACACAATCATATCCTTTCTCATTTAATAGTTATTTGGAAGTAACAGATAGCCCCCTCCTCAGCAGGCATGTTAAAATGTGGTCTTTATTGAAATTCTTAGCAATTTTGAATATTTTTAAATGTAACATACTTCATTTAAACACTCAAAAATAAATGCATAAATTAAGTTCAAGATAACCAAATATTCCATATCTCATGATATTGAATTTAAATCTGTTGATGTTTTAATTTTTACTTTAATTGATAATATATTTTAAACAATTATTTTGAAATCTAACCATTTAATAAAAAAAATATTAATTACCTTTTTCATCATTGCAACTTTTGCCTAAGAAAGGTGGTATTTCAGCCTGGTATTGTGAACCAATCATTATTTCCTGAAAAAATTAGAACATGTGGTATTGTAACCATACATATCTCATTATGATGATATATATATTTGTGAACCAAGAAGACCAGGATTCAAATACTGTTTTTTCTTAAGATCCATACCCACAAATATTTCCAGGCTCACACTGGAATCACAAGAAAATTCTCCTTTGGCAACAATACACTCAGGCAGGTCTCCTGCTCTTTAGGTTACAGTTGAAATGGGGAAGTAAAACACTCTCGAAGGCAAATATAACTTTGGAGCTTTGAGGCCAGCAATAAATGTAATTCTAGGCCATTTTATACATCTTGATTTCAGTCTTTACACAGTTTAACTATATAAAACACATACAAAAATTATACCTTACTATAGATCATTTTAAGAATTACCTTTCGCAAATCTTCAGATGAATTACCAGTATCTACTTCCACATCTTCACCATCAGATTCTTTATCACCATCACAAGTAGTGTTTGCTTTTTACAATAGAAAAGGAGTGTTAACAGACAACTATTTTAATGTAATATTGAAATAAAACGTCCCCCTCAAATCATGTCCAACTTCTGTACATGTTCCCATGTTCAAAGCCCATGTTCACAGCTAAGTGCTTTATTTAGTAACTACATTTCTGTATCACTCCAATCAGATGACTGTGGATGATGGAAACATAGAAGAGGCCCTGTAACATCTGTTTATATCTCTACACACTTCCGAAATTGCTTGAAAAGCATCAAAACACTTTTAAGATAGTAAGAAGCCTTTTGAAAATGGAAACATTTTGCAAACTCCTAATTTTTACATCATAGAATTATAAATTTGACTATAAGCAAAATTGCAAGCCCTCCCTCCCCAAGCCCTTATATATGTTTTATCTTTAGCAAATCAATACCTAAAAATTCTGGAGAAAAATAACTAATCACAAATATTCATTCCAGTTACATAGCTATCAGTCAAAATATATGGTTACCTAACTTGCAGAAATGTAACTCCAGACATTCCACAACAATAAAAACAAAACCACAGCATTCCACTCACAAATTATTTGGGGCATACCAACATGCACTCCACCTATCAGAATGAATTCACACAAAATCCTGGCCCTAACATTCTGGCTAAATAATACTTTTTATAACAATCTTACATTTCTAATTTACATTTACTTTACAGATTTCATCACATTTTCTAAGATTTGTTTCTTTGTAGCTACAATTGCTTATTTTGGTCCAAGTCTGGATGGACAGAATCATATGAGATGAATGGGGTTACAGAGACAATGTGATCTGGGATTGTAGAACCCAAGTAAGTGATTAATGTACCCAGAGAGAAGCTGTGGTGCTACCTGCTCTTAAGGAATATATTAGATGAATTGTGTCTAACTGTGTCCAATATTTCTTAGGGAATGATGTTGAGAATATGGTATGGACTGTTAGAGAAGATCCTAAAGAAAGCTAATTATCTAGCTCTTTTAAACAGGATTCAAGTTCAGTCAGAGATTGGAAATAGTGTTGATTATTTTGTTGGTTGCCTTTCATTGAGACTGGAAGGGGAAATGCAGACCTACTGGCTGCATTCAATATTGCCAAGCATGGTATCTGAGATTTGAAGGCACAATTCTACAGTAATTCTATTTCTGAGTGGGCAATTCTAGTCAGTAGTCATGAGACAAAATAACTGAGCCAATAGGTACTGAGTGTGGAATATCAGGCCTCAATTTTAACCCCTATGTTGTTTAATATTTGTATGAAATCATAGAATAGACTTTTGTTTTAAAGTAATACTTTAAGGTATTGCTTTAAGGTAATCATTAATATGCTGATAATACTCAAATTGTACACTGTTAATGCAGGCCATGTAAAAGATGCTCTGTGTGTCTTAAATTACAATATGGAGACTGTAAGTATAAGGGACTCAATTTGGAGGAAAAAGTTCAGATGAAACCAGTGAAAAGTTCAGTTGGTATTCATTTGTAAACAGCATGGTTTTCTTGTCACAGAGCTATGGGTTGCCATATATACAGTCATAATCCTCCGAAGAGGAAGTTCTCTCCTTTTGCATAGTTTCACTTTGGCACCATGTTAGAACCCCATCAATGAAATTCTTCACTTTATTTTTACAACCACTTCATGGATTAGAAAGAAAATAAAAAATTGAAAATGCAATAGAATTTGTTCTTCGAACCAAGACAGATGACTAACGGTTTCACAATTTTAACATAGCTAATTTGGAATACTGATTATATTTCCTTACATCTTAACGGTCGAGGAAAAAAATCTGTTGTTTCATGTGAAGTAACTGATGGTGTCAAATCATCAGCAGAAGACTGTGTTTCTTCATCATCTCCTGACAAAAGATCTTTGGCTATTTCTTCCTATAATCAAAAGAATCAATCATTAGTATCATTCATGTCTTGAAGAATTAACTAATAAAGCTGAGTTCTGATTCAACAACAATCCAGAGCTGGAAGAGGAGGCAGCAATTCAGTGTGATTTTTCATCTCAAGTTGTAATATTAAAATTAACAAAGGCAAAACAGAAGTGCCTGATATGCCTCATCCTTCATTCAAAATCTTCCAACAAACTCTGTCTCTGCATGAAAAAAATAGAAAAAAATATGTGCAATGCTGTTTGATTACAGTAGTGTGTTAATGTATACTAGGACATTAAATGGATGTGGAGAGAACTGGATTCAGTGATTAATGTGTCTGTTCTCCAATCATGGAAGTGCTACAATAAAATTATACTGGTTTTCTCAATCTATGAAGAAAAAACTTGAAAGAGAATCTTAGTTTAATACTTGCCTATTTATTCCCTGTCTATTTTTAGAAACTGTAAGAATTGTTATGGTTGTCTGTCTGGTTTGAGGACTATACTTTTCATGTAAAATAAAAGTATCAATGAATTAAACCTTTTCCCCAACATCTTACATAACGATCAGCTCCAAGTCAATCATAGGTAATTTTTGTCAACACTCTTTTCCTTTGGGCAAAATCTACTTTTGAGTAAAATGTCATATAATTACCTCACTCTAGAATCCCTTTCATGCAAATGTTACCGGTATTACCTTCTGTCAGGGGTGTCAAACTCGATTTCATTGAGGGCCACGTCAGGGTTGTGTTTGACCACAGGGGGCTGGAGTGGGTGTGGCCAGGTTGACATCACTCATGTCAGGGGCACTTATGGTGGCCCGAGCGCTCTGCCAGGGAAAATGGGCTCCCTCCTAGCTCTGTTTTCAGGCAATGGCCTCCTGCAACTTTCTGCCAGCAAAAACAGAGCTTGTGAGGGTTGTGCACGGCCCTCCCGAGCTCTGTTTTCACTGGCAGAGGCACCATGGGCCAGTCCTTCTCTGTTTCCAGGGTGGCTCTGCGGGTCAGATCTAAGTACCCCACAGCCCGTATCCGGCCCACAGGCCTTGAGTTTGACACCCCTGCCTTCTGCTTCAAAACAAAATAAGTATGTGTATTTTTATAGAAAGTAAAGTTTAGTTTGAAATCCTTTGCTCTAATCTGTAATACATTTATTATTCTTTATCTCTTTATAACTATTATTTCATTTGAATTTCATCCTAGTGATGTGTTTTAAAAAGCTACTTTTACTATTAATTTCTATGAAATACCTGCTTCTGTCATATAGAATACTTTAATTTCCCTGAGTTTTTTTCTCTCTTTCTCTGTATATATGTGTGTGCAGGTAGATGTTTGTGTGTGTAGGTAAGTAGGTAGGGTAGGTGGGTGGATAGATGGATAGACAGACAAGACAGAGTTTAAATGCATTGATATACATATGTACATTTTTGTTACGTAGCTAATGGATAGTTGGAACACAGTTTCCCAAACAGTATTTAAAAACCTGCTTTTAAAAAATTTCTTGCTTTACAAAAAGAAAACCCTTATACAAAATAGGATTTGATGTACTTGCATCCAACTTTAAGTTTACATCAAAGCTGTAATATCTTACTGTGCACTGATAATACATTTTTAAAACTCTACAGTACTATAGATATGCCCAGTCTTCATTCTGAATTCTGTTATTGTACTTAAAGCTAGGCTTGCTCACATATCCGTCCCCTCTTTTGCAGAAATAGCTTTCAAGTTAAATATGCCTAGAACTACATCCTGCTGAAATTTAAGGAATAATCAATGTCAGATTCATGCTCAGGTAATAAAAGAACTGAATCTCTCAGTGGAATGAGGTCATGATAATAATAGAACCTAGGAATTTCCTGCATTTTAGGGCAACAGATAAACTTACTTACTTTATCCAAAGTCATGTCTGGAAGCTCATCTGCAAGTTCGCTTGGGGAACTATCTGCGCTGGAACTTGCTATAACAGGAATAGCAGATTCATAGCCATAGAATGCTAGCAAATCTTCTAATGGCATACTTCCTTCCTGAGGTTTTTTTTTTTAAATAAAGAGAAAATAGATTGCAATTTGTAGAAGACTATATGATTTTGCACACATGCTAGGAACAAAGTAGCTTAAATAATTAAATAGAAATTATGCTATTGGTAAAAATATTTATCAATGCTTCATTTTTTTTTTGAAACTGATAATCCCTTAACAATTTGAACTATTAGTTTACAATCTAGCATGCATCATTAAAATTGAAATATAAAGTATTCTCTTAACAAACAAGAGACCTGAACATAGTGCCACAAAGTAATCAATATTTCATTACATGGAAATGCAATGAAATTATATAATAATTGTATTTATCTTTGGAGCTAATACTTCATTCCAAAAAGAAGTTGTACTGACATTGCTTTCCCTCATTTATACTGCTAATATAAATAGGTTTTCCAGAATTTATATATTGGCCTGATTTATATCACTGTAGTGATGAAAATAGTTGCCCTAAAAGTTGCAGAATGCAGCATTTTCAAATGATGTTTGAGAACAAACCTCGAGATGTATATTCTCTTACCTTTTCTAAGTCTTCAATCTCAGAACTGAAATTTTTGCCTTCATCCATCATTTCTTCCTCTTCCAGAGTTCTTTCATCATCATAATCATGTACCAACATTTCAGCAGTAGGGTCAAAGTCATGATCCTCAGAAGACAAAGAACCAACTAAAAAAAGATAATTTGAATCTCTTTAGCAAACGTTACTAATAACTTTAATATTATATTACCAAAATTCAAGAATTAAATACCCCAAACAATCATGTATCAACCATGGCATGAATTTTAAGCACTGCTGTACATTCTGCAGAGTAAATGAAAGAGAATATTAGATTAATGCTTCTCATTTTAAAACAATTCTACAGGAATAGGGAAAAGACTTCCCTGGAGCAAACATATACGATAGACATAATAGAATGATTTCATTACAGCTTTTGTCAAAAGCCCTAAAATTGAAATAATCATATTTGCACTTATACTGTGCTAGTAATAGCTACACCAGTCCTAACCCCACTGTAACTATACAATATAGCTATAATTTTCCTAGCTACTTGATTTTGATTTCATAGATTACTGAATGTGCTGAAACTGATATAAACACAATAGTTTGCATGTGGAAGCTCACAGAAATTGTTATCAGGAAAATAGTGCTATTTCAGAATGCTAAAAAATAGCCAACTTATCTGAAGAAATGGTTTAAATTCTAAAGCTAATAAATTTTGAAGGAAGGGCTAAAGCTACCTAAAAACATTAGTACCGGTTTCCACAGCTTACTGTGTTTATAGAACAATATCAGTACAAAACACTATTTTATATTAGACCCTGAAATACTAGGAATTCTGGAAGATATTGCCCCAATGGCTTCAGGATATTGCTCTGGGAAGATGGTTATACACTGTTTTGCAGATTTAGAAAAACATATTTTGACAACGAATGGCAATTTTAAAAGCATGCATACTGGCAGGTAGAAACATCTGATTATGGGTAATTTTGACAAAGATGAGCATAGTTTATACTTGGATGAGAGACAACCAAGAAAGCTCAAGCATTTAAGCTAGATAGGAAGGTTGAAAAATGTCAGGGAAGAAGGCAGTAGCAACCAAACTCCATCCTTTTGTCAAGAATGTAGCACGGATGGATTCTTATAACCTCAGGAGTCAAGCTGGATTCAGGTGAATCTTTATTATTTTTGTTTTTAATAAGCTGGAAGTTAATAGAATGTCTTCAAATTATACATTTCCCATTAAAGAAAAGTATTTGCACTTGGATATAAAATCGAATTTACCTGAATGTCAAAATTAACCATCTAAACAAGCTATAAAGTAATGTATGTATGTATGTATGTATGAATAATGTATATGTATAACAACTTATTTTATTTTTTTAGAATTTTCTTTCTTTGAAATGGTTATGTATGGCACTTAACAGTTATTTATTCAAATTAATAAAAGTGCATTCAATCATGATAGAAATGATGATATGTGACTGTTTAATAATCAAATTTCAAGGATTTAAAATGTATAAGATTCCAGCCAAATTTAAGCATGATCAAATGCCTTTATTCTTGATAGAAAATATAAAATTGATGTGATCAATAAAGCTTAACTTTAGCTGATTTTGCTCATTTTTTTTAATTAAATGATTCTTTGAATATTGATCTTAAATAAAATTTATACTGTACTTTTTTAAGATGAAAAATCTTAATAATAAATTTGACTCATGATTATAAAATTAACATAAACTTACGCCTGTCTTTATCAGAGTAAGCCATAATGTTTTAATGGAGCTTACTCTTTAAAAAAGTGGTATTACAGCTCTGCAGATGAATTTTAAAGGAAAGGGAGTAAATTTCGATTGTCAACCCTGAAGTGAGCCTGGCCAAAGCCATTTTGGAGGCTTCAGAGTTGCCACACAGCAGTGGGAGGGGGGGAAATAGTTAGATGGGGTTTTGTAGCCAAAACAATAAAGTTTTCCTATGGGAACCAAGGTTATTCTAACAGGTGGCTGGCCAGAGGAGGAGCCGGTAACCCAGCAACCAGTCAGCACCTAGACTGGACAGTGTGACCAGTGATTTGGGGGAAAGGGGGAAACTTTTACTTTTCATTAGGTGAAAGTCACGGGAAACCTCAGTTGGCTTTCACTAGTTTGTGCCAAAATGATGTATCCAATAAATTGTTCTCTGAGGCACTCGAGTGCCTCAAAGTTTGTTTTCTATGGGTGCATTACTTGGAATGCTGACACGTCCCACTTCCTCAGTCTGCTAGATGGATGATACCAGGGCCACCCTCAAGCAAATGTAGCTGATGGGCCTGATCTACAGGGCCATTTTAGGAAATAAAAAAGCTTTGGATTCAAAGAATCCAAGACTGGTTTTAGACAAATGGCCAACATCTGGAACACAGCAACAGATCTATCACATTGTTTTTTCAGGCATACCAAGGGCTGTGCTTACTGTCGTGAGCCATCTTGGGGACCTTATCAGTCCAATCAGGTGGAATTACTTCTGAAAAACATGGTGATCAAGTTAAAAAAGCTGGAATTTTCAATTCATTTCCCATAAAGAAAGTTCTACTGAACTGTAGTGAACTTACTCCCAAGTAAAAATATTTAGTATCATGCTCAGCAAGTGGAGGGAATCTTACCCATCCAAACTTGCGCCAGACATCAGATTTCTAGTGTAGCACTGCACTATAATTACATTAGAGAGATGTTTTACCAATTGTTCTGGAAAATGCATTTGAAGTACTTTTGAAATTGTTTTATATTTACATATTACATGTATTATTAAATATGTATATTTAAGAAAGAATACCTTGACAGCATAGTTTTACTCTTATCTATTCAGAATTTATCCTGAATTCAAAGGGGCTAATTCCAAAATTATACCCAGAAATGTTAAGTCAAATTAGTTAACATTTTAAAAATATAATGTACTGTCTAACAAGTTGATCAAAGACATGTTATAAGACTATTCATATATGTTGTATGTAAAATATCTGATATATTTTTAATTTTGATCTTATTACAAGTTAAATACATTGTACTTTATTTTCACTGACAAAAGTAATTCTGCTTCTATTGCCACTCATAAAATTATATTTCTATTTAGTTCATTAACATCCTGTAAAGAAAGAAATTATCATTATTGCTTAAAACTAAAGAAGCATTCAAGGATGAATGTTTCACAATGCAATGGGACTTTCCTTAAGTCAATATTTATAGGAATACACACAATCTATTCTAGCCAAGGATGGTTGGGATCCATTATTGTCAATGAAACTTACTTCCAAATAAATTTACACTTGCTTTTATTTTTCTTTGAAGGAACAGCATCTATTAGCTGAGCATCTCACTTATCCCTGAAACTTTGTTCCCTAAACACACTCCAAAAAGTTGACAGAACTTTTGGAAGAGGACTGGGGAAGTATATAGGGTTGAAGGACACAAAAAATGGCAAATTTCCATTAAGTGAACAGAAAGCTGCTAATCGGATCTCATTTCCTACTTTTATTGTACTGTTTTTCTTTGTACAAATAAAATAATGCATTGTTATAGGGTCTAAAGCCCACATTAACAACCTCATAATAAGTCCAATTTACTTCTGAAAATTTGGCAATCAAGACTGTGATTTTAATTCATGTTGCAAAATACAAACTAATGAAAATGATTTAGTTCCAAATAAGCATACTAGATATCATGCTTAATAAAGAAGCAGGAGGTCTGCAGATCGCTGAAGCAGCAATTTTATTCAACAATATTTTAAACTGAAGTTTCTTGCATATTCAATAAATGTTTGGAAAATCAAACATAACAATTTGAAACTGATCACAAGAATTATATACGGCAAAGAGCTTCATACTTTCAATAAGAACCAAACAGGTGATTTTAAGATAAAAACAACTGAGCATGAAGCATGAACTAGAGACAATGAAGGAGGAAGTAAGCATTTTAACACAATCAAGAAAACATATAAAACATCTTTGATAGATGTGCCTGTACTCTGGCCCTTAGCCGTACCCAAAAGCTTCCCACTGCCGGAATCACAGAAGAAGGAACTGAACAGGACAAACCTGGGCTCGAACTCCCAAAGGAAGCCTGGAACAAGCAATAAGAGAGGGAGGAAAAAAACGGATTACAAATAGGCTGGCCAGAGAGATTTGGAAAAAGTGGTCATAAAAGGAAAATGTTAAGGCAACCCCTCCTAATTATTCAACCTCTGTCTCACGCACACTTCTCCATCTTTTTTTCCTCAATTTCTCCATCTAACTTCTTTCTCTCCCCCTTCTTCAGCTCTCAGCATCCCTCCATCGCTTTCCCCCCCACTCGCACCCCCACCGCTCCTCCGGTCCCTCTTCTCGCCTCCCTTTTCCTCCGCATTCAGCACCCCAAGTTGCTTCCCTCCCTCCAACCTTCCTCTTTTTCCAACTCCTCCACCTCGTCCCCGACGCGAGACCCGGGCCTTGACACCAGCCCCATCCCGGCCGGGCCCGCCCGAGAGGTGACAGGGGCAGCTTGAGAAGGAGCGACCAAAAGATCCGGGCTGCCCGTCGGAGAATCTCACCGCTCCGTCGCCTCCCTCCTCATCTCACCCTAGCCAAACAGTCTCCATCCCGGATTCCGACCCCCACGGAACCGGAGAAAGGAGACCTCTCCGCTCCCGGGCCCGGGACTGTGGGTGGAGACCGGTACAGCGCTCAGCAGACAGCTAGAGGCAGACGGACCGACGGACGGACGGAGGCAGACGCGGCCTAGTCGCGCAGGCTGCGCTTCTCCGCTTCAAGTAGCTTGAGGAGCCCCCAGCCGCCCCCCAGGGCCTCCTTGCTGGGGCTCCGACCACCGGGAGGGAGTTATAGGGGTGTCGGAGCGGCCTGAAGGGGCCACCCCGCCGCGAAACTCGACCAGGAACCGGCCGGACCCCAGCGCCCCTACCCGCTTTCCCCGCTCACCTCCGCCATATTGGGAGCGCTCGGGCTGAGCAGCAGCGATGCGCCAAATGCCCGGATGGGGCCGCTAAGCCAATGGCAGGCCGGCCGGGACTGGGGCTACAGCCGGGGTGGGGTAGGAGCGGGGAAGAAAGCGGCCTCTCTGCCTTGCCGGGCGGCGGGCTGAGGCGGAGAAAGGAGCGCCGCTGCTCCGTCCATCCTCCCGGAGACTTTGCCTACGCTGCAGCCCCGAGGGAACGCCGGGAGGAAGAGAAGGGAAGGGGCAGGTAGACAGGAACTCCCCGCTCGCAGCCCGGCCAAGGGGATGAAGCCCTCGCCTCGTTCGCGAAGTTTCATGGGACCTCTTCTAGCGCCGGCATAAATGAACGGCAGCCGGAGAGGCAGCGGGAGGGAAGGGTCCCCAAGGGACCTGGTCCACCTGGTCGGCCCGGCACGTTAGCTCGAGCACCGCGCTGAAACGGCTGCCCGCGATTTGCTTAGATAGTAGCCCTGAATAGCTGCAGTGACAAGAGTTGGAAGGGTCCATTTAGGCCGTCGCCTCTGCCTCCTGGCCACTATGGGGCTCCCCGTTACAGGTCCCCGACAGACGCCTGCGCGCCGCCTCTACTTGAGCCGAGGATCCCCGGGAAACTGGTTCTGACTCCCAATGTTTTCCAAGCATCTCCCGAGCCTACCGGTAACGCGTTCATCCATCCTAGTGTGCCACTCAACAAATCACACCCTGGCTGAGGATGATGCGAGACGCTCAGCCATTAATTCCTGGCTACAGACTTTGAGAACAGAGAGTGTTTGAATCCTTGGATTCACCAATCTAACAAGTTTTTAAAAGTTAATTTCCAGCTTTAAAAAAAACAAAAAACGATTGCTTCACTAATGGGCTTTTACCAGAAAAGTAGGGGTCATCATTTTCCACTTAGAACCCTCTTGTATTTTCCCCATCTATATTTTCTTTCCACAAAAAAATCATTAAGAAAGAATAGAATGCACACAATATATTCTGACAGATTGGGATAAGAGCCTTCTTCAGCAGGCACCAATAAAATATATAATATTACAAAGTAATTGTTGTTTTATATGTACAGTATATGCCTCCAAACTACTTTCAACAAATAAGAGATGAGATAGGAATTGCTGGTAAAAAATGTTTAAATACATAATAAAAGTGTTATTTAGAAATATCTTAAATTCTGCTGAGTTAAGCAATACTTGTAGCCAAATGATGTAGCTATGTTGTAGCAGGATGCATAAGTTATTTTCAAATAAATATGCATAAGACAGCTGGCTGATTTCCATATTCAATATACTCCATTTTCTCATATGAAATATATGCATACATACATACATACTCATCGCACCATTCCATTTCAGGGTAAGCAATATTATATAGAGTGTGGGAAGAGTATGAAAAGGAATGAAAATGTAGCTAACACTAGTTTACACAAACACCATTCATTGTATTTCTCCATACTTTTCAATACTTGCAAGTTATCATTGCTTTAACCTCATCCATATACTGCTTCATATATAGCGTTTTGTTTTTCACACTTCAAACCTGTTTTCTTTTTTCTTTTCTTTTTTTATTTCTTTCCTTCCTTCTTTCTTTGTGTGCCTTTGAATCAATATTGACTCCTGGCACACATCTTGAGACTAATCCTTTTAGTTTTGGCAGATTTCAGAAGTGATTTGCCACTGCCTCCTTCAAGGTCTAAGAGAGTGCCTGGCCCATGGTCACCTAACAAGGTTTGTGGCCTAGACCAAGGTCTTGAAATTTCTATCCTGATGCCTTAATTTCCACATCATACTTGCTCTCTCAAACCTCTCTCTTGAGAATCTCATCAAATCCATCAAAGGATAACTTTTTCACTATTCTTAACTCATTTACTATTCCTCCATTTGTTCTACATTTCAGTCCTCATTCATTCTTTCTGTATGACCATACCACTTCAGTATACTTCTTTCATACTCTGGTCATTCATGTCCTTCTGTACCAATCCACATTCAACTCAGAGTACTTAGTTATTTTTGACCCTTCTCTTTTTGTTCGCCTACTTAAATTTAAGTATCCTATTTCCACTGAAATCAATGGATTGTTATGATTCTCTTAACATATCCATCTCATTTCCATTTAACAATCAATAGAAGCCCACTCTTATATGAAGGTATTTTTGCTTCTTTCAATAAATGTTCTTTCTTTCCAACAAGCTCCATATTAACCACTATCATTCTTCCAGAATTTACACATTCAACATTTCTTCTTCAATTTCCTATTTTTTCTCAATATTTTACCATGATACACGAATTCATCTACTTGCTCTAGTTGTTTTACCATTTATACATAACTTGTAATAATGTTATTTTCCCTGTCAGACACAGCTACCTATATTTTTGACAGTCACTTTCATTCCTATTCCTTATTGTATAATACGCTTCCTCTAATCTTCATTGCAGATCTTTCAGGTTCTCAGTCAACAATTCAGCATTATTTGTACACAAAATTATATGTGTATTCCTGTTCCCAACCAATACACTTCTAATATCATCACAAATATTCCTTATACATTTATCCATTTGTATGTTAAGCAACCAAGGACACATCACATATCCTTGTAGTCCTGCTCACTGAGTATTCTGTTTATTCCCCTACATTTTTATTTCAACCAAAGTATGGTAAGTATTTTTTTTCTTTGCACAAAAATTGAGGAAGAAAAGACAGAATAGTTGCATAATGTATTTTCACAGATTCTCCTTGAACCCTCAGTCTAAAAGCACCAATGGAAGAAGTGGTGAGAAACCAGAGATTTTGGATCTCCACAATAAACTTATTTAATTTATTAGATTACAACAGATTACAATGCAATGTGTATATAAATATTGTGAACAATTTATTTTATTATTTTAATTATTAAATTTTTATGTTGCCCATCTCCCCTGTAATGTGATAATTAGAAGGCAACGTAGTATTTTCTCAGACACAATGGCTTTCCCCATGCAGTATTCAAAATAATCAGATAATTTGGAAGCTTCTTTAAAATCCTTATTCATGTTTGAGTGCTTCACTGAGATCCTGGTTGGGTTGGAGTACAGAATGATGCAGTACAGCCATTCAGGTCAGTATTCACCTGAATCCAATGGACTCCTCAAATTCCAAAAATAACTTTACGAAGAATGAAAATCTTGACTTCGTAGTTTATCCAGAAATGTCATTGGACCAAAATAATGTGGCTCATTTGTATACTGATAGTTGAATACAAAAATCTAGGCACCCTTTTCAATTATGTTTGAATGAATCTGTAAGTGAATGGAAGCAGACACATCTCCTACATGGGGTAAAGTTATTTATACGTGGCATATTGCTATAAATATGAATACTTGTTTACTCTTTATGAGCAGTTATTCAGAGATTCAGAATTAGAAAACAGTGAATACGGCAGGTACATATATTTAGATATTCTTTCACTTTTTAACTCTTCCCTTGACAGAAATAACATCTTCCAAGTGTTTCCTGCTCCTGATGATCAAGTCTTTCTATTCCTATATTTAGTTTTTCTTCCCCTCTTGTTCTGATATGATTTTTCTGGCTTAGAGATATTAAGCCTTTTGCCCTTACTACATTTTTGTTTATTTATTAATCAATCACATGCCCATCTCACGAGAGGACTTCTGAGATCCTGCCACAGAATTTTTATTATATTCTAGACTGGAAACTGTGGAGGCTATACTGAAGCAAAACCATTGTCCCCGTCCGTCTGTCCCCTATAATTCATGGTTTATTTGTAGAGATTTGGAGTGTTGCTGAAATATCTGCATCTTTTCACTTCCAGTTTGGTCACTGAATATAGACATTAACTTCTAAGATTTGTTGTCACTTAACTTAATCAATTCCTCCTACCAGTTGCATAAGTGTGCTGTGCTGCCATACAATCCCAAAGAATAACAGACCCACTCTGCTTGGCGGTTGGCAAGATTTTCTTTTCTTGAAATGTTTCACTTTTTTCTCTCCAAATGTTTCATTTTCCCCCCAAATGTACATGATCGTGGCCTATCTCATCAGTCCAAGCACTTTGTTCCAAACATTTCAGTTTTCTATTGCATACTCCGGACAATGAGTTTTGTGATACAATGGAAAGAGAGGAAGAAAGGTTTTCTTCTGAGAAACATTCAATGCAAATAAACAGTTATAGAAACATTGCGGTGCTGTAGACTTGCAGAAAACAACTCAGCGAAGGTTTTCAGTAAGGTAGCTTGAAGTGATTTGTGAGTTCTGTTTTGCCAAACTGACTAGTTTTTAGGCATTTCTAAACATTTTTTTTTCCTTTGGGTCTTTCAGATTTTGTCTTGACTTGAGCAGTTCCATTTAACTTCCATTTCTTACTATGTTTTTCACAATAGAAATTGCTAGCTGAAATTCTTTATGTGTTTTACAGTGTTTTCCGCTATAAGACTTAGTAATCTCCAAATGCTCTTAGGGAAGCCCATGGCTGTTGAATATAGCACCACACATATCCTGAAAGGCTAAAAAGATTATTTAGCCAATTTATCTGCCAATAACAGAAATGAGAATCACTAGCCAAGAGAGCAAAGGAGACAGCCATATTTGGCCTCTTTGGCAAGTAGATGCTTGGATGTTTTTCAAAGAAGGTGTAGCGACATAAGAATAAGAAAACCATAGTGGGATAATTACTTTCAAGCAAGAAAAGGTAAATAAGGGTACATTGCAATTGTCCATCAGGGTAATAGATGGATTGCAGATCAACCCTGCTAACAGGCCACTTCAAAACATTTTCACTCACCATGGTAAGATGTACTTTGCTTCTGAGTAAATAAGAGTCATTAACTTTAAATGTGTATATACATATCAGCATAAACACATATAGTATTGGGACTCAATTTGTTTATACATACACATACTTCAATCATAAACTTATTTAAATCTGGGAAGAATTATAATTCATTTTCTTCATAGGGAGGGAGGCAGAAATGATCAGTCTGGGATTCATAAGGCACAGCTGTAAAGAAAAGCTTCTAG